ATCGATTCCTCAACCAATCAATCGATTCCTCAACCAATCAATCCTCAAACAAACAATCAATTCCTCGAGTCCCTCGACTACTCAATCAAATCCTCAACTACTTAATCAAATTCCCCAACCAATCAATCCTCAACCAATCAATCACTTAACCAATCAACCAATTCCTCAAGTCCCTCGACCACTTCATCAAATCCTCAACCAAGCAATCCCTCATCAGTGAAGAAGGATGGTATTGCCTCTCCTTTCATCAGATTGTTTAGTTCAAAGGTGACGAACTCAACATGAAGAGTTCCTTCATCCGTGTTTCTGGCACTATTCTTCGTCAGATTGTTGGTATTCCTATGGGCAAATCTTCCAGTCTAGCCCTTGCCTGTCTGTTGTGTGCACACAATGAGTTCGTGTTTTTGTCATCCCTTGGACGCGATGCCAGATTTATTCGTGGTTTTCGATTGATGTACGATGTCTGTCTTCGCTGTCTGTAAGCAGAGGGATACTCAGTCTTCTTTGCTTGGGCATCTTTTTTTTTTTTTTTTTTTTTTTTTTTTTTTTTTTTTATTCTGCAGAAGTTCCGATCTTGCTATGATTGTAACCTCTCTCTTGAGCAAACAAATGAGTGGACTTGCTGTGATTTCGTCGGCTATGTTTTCAAGCTTTTTGACAGTAGACGAGGTCTTGGGTGTATGGCAGCAGTTCATAAGAACCAGGGAACCATCTCCGAAGGTCGGATTTCATTTCAGAGCATTCAGGACTTCTGCTCCTACTCCAACCCTCAGCAGAAAATTCACCACTGTAATTGTGTCCTTCCTGCACAGAGCTCGACTTTTCACCACTGTCCCAGATACTGAGCTTGTCTTCCTTGTCTGTCTCAACTTTTTTTTTTTTAATGTTTTTAACAATTTGCCATTTGGACCATTTCTCGATTTATGCGTGTCATCCTTACTTGCGCAGGGGCCATGCGAATCTTCTTTCTCTGTATCGTTCCAATTTTAACGGATGTTCCGAAGGACATTGTCTCTCTCTCTCTCTCTTTTTTTTTTTTTGACATTGTCTCTCAACATTGAACTATGCGAACGTGGTTATCCTCGGGACTACTTTTATTCTCTGCTTTCGTCAAATTTCCCACGAAATATGCAGCTTGTTGGGACCATTTGGGTGCCTTTCTTCACTAAGTGGGAACGTTTTTTGCCACTAGACAGGCAGCGGGACCCCCGGAAACAGGAACAGCGACTGGTTCCGCTTGCTGCCTGATGGCATGGTCGCTGTGGTTCATAGTTAGGACCCCTTTCTTCTTTTTTCTTTTTTTTAAATTAAAGAAAAAAAACAAAAACAAATCCCTCCAGTGCTAGCGATACTGTTAAGGGCCCCTTTCTTGTGTGAGATCTGTTTTTAGGAGTTTTGTAGTGGACAGTGGACGCGACCCGTGTCCTTCTACTTGGTAAAGATGTGACCCGTTTTGCAGTTTGACGTGGTTGTTTACGGATTCGATCCAAGTGTCCTTTTTCACTGGTTATAGATGTTGTCGGTACCTGAGGTGTTTTTCCATCTAGATACAGGGTCCAACCGGCGGTATGTAGTTTTTTTGTCTCTCGCAGTAGATGTGCGGCATGTGTAGTATTCAGACAATCCGGTCGGTTTCTTATCCAGCCTTGGAAAATGACGACTTGACTTGATCATCACGATGGTTCTTGATTCTTTCAATGTACGCGCTGATAAATAGTCTTGGCCGCTCCCTGTTCATTAAACGACCAAAGAAGCGACCAAAAACCCCTGATGAGCTGCTGGCAACCGGTCGGGTTTCGCCGTACCGAGTTTTTCTCCGTATTTGCCACTGTTCTTCATGTTTTCACTTTTTGGCAAAGTCGCGTTCGGGAGACTACTTTTTTACTATGCCTATATTGTCTTCTTCCTTCTTTGCTGCTGGGTTATCTGTCTTCTTCCTTTCTTTTCTTATCTTTTGTTCCTTTCCTCCTCTTCGTTCAAGTGCGTTGTGCTTTTGTCCTGTCCAGTCGATGAATGGTTCTACTTAATGAAGAGTCGATCGTACGATTGACAAAACACAATCAATCAATCAATCAATCAATCAATCAATCAATCAATCATTCAATCAATCAATCAATCAATCAATCATTCAATCATTCAATCAATCAATCAATCAAGCAAGCAAGCAACCGACCAACCAACCAACCAACCAACCAACCAACCAACCAACCAACCAACCAACCAACCAACCAACCAATCAATCAATCAATCAAAATACAGGCATGATTGTAGACCTGCCTCTCCCATACCTACCAAAAAAAAGACACATGAATGTGATGCTGCAGGTAACCGTTTTGGATCAAAGAAAGATCAGTTGGCTTTATTTTTCTTGCAAAGCATTTGACCACAACGTATTCACAGCCATCTCATACTACCACAACTTGGGAATCAATCAATTGTCAATTTTTCTTAATTTTAATAATTTAATAATTTAATAAATTATTAATTTATTACTTGATTAATTTATTAATTTATTACACATGATTGTAAACCTCGCTGGTGCTCGTCATATTCGTGTTGGCAGCGATAAAATAATTGGTTGTTTCGGTGAATCAACAACTACAGTCTTCCCCCGAACATAACACACCCTAAAAATGAATGTATACAAGCTATTTTTCCGGCCAGATACAGCCAAAAAAAGGGTGCGTTGTGTTCGGGGAAAGACGGTAGTTTCCTAATGGCATAGGACTATATCTTCAACCAGAGTGCAAGAGGACGAGTGACAGAGCAAAGCGACGGAGGAATAAGAGGAGGAACTACTGTAGGCGTTTCTCCCACTCATGTGCACATAATAACAGTGCACTCTTTTCTTGAAAAGCATTTGGACAAATCTATTGACAGCCACCTCACATTCCCCAGCTTTGCGATCATGCGATTTCTCAACCAATCAATATATAATATATATCAATAAAAAATACAGGCATAAAAAAAAATAATAATAATAAAAAAATAATACAGGCATGATTGTAAACCTCCCTCTCCGGTATCGTCAAAAAGACACGGCTCTTCACTTGTTGACATGAACCTGGACGTAAATGCAGTCAGATACTTTCCAGACGTTGTAGGTTCGCAGCATAATCAGAACGAGGGCATAATCGCACTAGCACTTCTTCACTTGTTTATGGACGTAAATGCAGCCAGATACATGCATGTCTGACCGTAACTTCGATCAGATACATTAAAGATAGTGCAAGTGGGAGTACCGCAAGTGATTGCCAACAAATCTGTATTCTGAGTCTTCGATCTCCTGACCACTATAAAGCTGCTGCTTGTTCAGAAGCCCAGTGTAATTAAGCAAGCAGCTGTTTCTTGAATGCACCTTTCCATTCTGACGTCCAGGTTCAGTCAAAATATCCTAGCAAACAAGTGACTACCAACAAACGTGCCCTCCACTCTTCACTCTCCTGCGAGATCAGAAAGAGCACATGCAAAAGCACCTGCCACTTATAGACCGTAAATAACATTACAGACTTCCCGAATGCATGTTTACATTCTTTACGTCCAGATTCAGTCACTGAAGTATCGTCAGATCTCCAATGCAACAAAGCAACTGCCTCGTTTATAGAATACAACTCGCACTGCGGACATTTCCGGATGCATCTTTACATTCTCACGTCCAGGTTCAGTCAAATTAGCATACCCCCATACCTGCCTTCCACAGCTTCACAGAGTCGAGGTTGCTCCCTCCTTCCAACCTACCTACCACCTTTTTGTGCATTCTCCCAAGTTCCTAGCTGGAACGACTGTCTAGCATAATGATCCCAGCTGCAGCAAAACAAGCACTTTGCGTCAGACAACTGACGCAGCGCTTTGACGATAGATAAATAACCGACAGTAGAACTGCACAAGCAGCAGCACCACTACTCTCCCACACTCCCCTCCTCTCTCTTTCTCTCTCTCTCTCTCTCTCTCTCTCTCTCTCTCTCTCTCTCTCTCTCTCTCTCTCTCTCTCTCTCTCTAGCGCAGCTCCTGAGAGGCAAGTACCTTCCTTGCTTTGCTGAATAAACAAACAGTGCAGTACTACACTGCACGCATGGCCGAGGGTCAGTC